GAACAGCTCTCATGATATCCCTCCATGCCATCTTTTTAGCCTAGCCAGCATCATCTCTCTTGGTCTGCCTCTATCCCTTTTTTTCACTAATCTTTCCAATTGTCACGATGTTTTTTTAATGTCTTTCTTCTCATTACGTGGCAAAAGAACAGTGTTTGTCTCTTTCTTATTGTTGCATATAGAGATCTACTTTCATTAGCCTCTTTCAAACGATCGTTGTTAGTTACTCTGGCCGTCCAGACATTCGCCTCAGAAACGACATCTCTCTGTTGCTGCCAATTCCTTCTTAATTTGTTTACTGACATTCCAAGATTCGCTGCCATACGGCAGAACAGGTTCTATGTATCATTTTAGCATGCATAAGATATTTTTCATTTTCTCAAATGTAGCTTTCACTTGACCTGTTCTGCTTAAAACCCCTGTCACACATTTACCATCCGATGATATGACTGTTCCCAGTTATTTGAATTTATTGACTTTGTTACGTCTTTTTCCTTCAATTGTGATATCACAATGTGGAGTTATCTTCTTCTTTGAAATAGCCATTACTTCCGTTTTCTTAATATTCAATGAAAGTCCGTTCATAGCACTCTCCATATCCACATAACACAAGTTGTTTATTTTGTATCCTCCAACTCTTATTTCTGCTTTCTCTTTAATTTCCCTCAAAATTATTTCACAGCTTATAAAGAAAATGTCTGGGGATAAGACACATCATACTCCTTGCTTTATCTGTTCAAAAATACCCAATCTGTGACCTACTTTTTTTGCTGCTACTTGGTTCCATTAAATGTTTTTATTCCAGTAACAACTCCAGTTCCAGTAATAATAAAAATATTAATGACAATAATATTGTGCTAAATTGAAGAGGGAATAAATACACAAGCGCTTGAAAGAGAATTGCTATACGTATCTACAGGAGACCGTTTAGCTTTCGTTACAAAAATATTGTTAGGAAAAAAGGGGTGGGAAGGGGGGGGGGGGTCTGTCCGCTCAAAAATGTCTTTGGTGGGTGGGGGTGGGGTTTCAAGAGACCTGAAACCTGAGGTTCCGGCTCCTCTGAGTGTTTCCTAACTGTAGCTTATTGCGACAAGTGGTATTTCGGCATGTTGTAGCACTTCTGTTTTGTTGAATGCGTGACTTCAAATATAATTGTAGACATTCGCACAGAATGAGAGCCACCTAAAATCGTCTCCACAATCCAGCGCATAAAAAGTGCTATATCATGCTTTCATCACTGACGCCGGGGGGGGGGGGGGGGGGGGGGGTGGGGGGGGGGGGGGGGCGGGGCGCGGGGCGAGGCGAGGAGTAAAAGTGTATCGACTGCTTGCTTTATACACAGCCAGCGGAGCCTAGGAAAGCAAGGACCGATCAAGCAGGTTTGAAATGCAAATACTGGTAACCGTCAGTGGAGTAATATTGCCATAAGAACCGTAATATACGATTCTGAAGGATGATGAAATTACAAAGATTACTTTACCAAAGTCTGGAAATCTCTCTTTAAAAAAAAAAAAAAATTCCGAATCGTTTTATTGACCACACAGCCTCCTGTAATAATCTATCTGGAGAGGCCGTGCATTGATTAACAGAACCCCTTTTTCGCGCATTCAGGCGTACTAGGGATATAGGGAAAATTCTATATTTTATAGACCAATTGGAACTTGGTAGGTGATGTGATCAATATCATACCAGCCACAATAACCATATAGACGATTTTCAACAGGCTGTCAAAAGAATTCCCAAGAACTAAATAACCAAAGCAATGTTTCCCCGATATAAATTTGAACAAAGAAGACACAAACAATAGACTGCACAGTTTATTGCCTGGCATATTTCGCTGTATCTCGTCAGGTGCATACTACAGTAACAAGTGAATAAATGAAGCAAATAGCTGAATCCTAGAAACTGAAACACAAATTCGAGTACATTCTACACTGTGTTTCACCAAGGTAACCTTAAGGAAACTACCATTTCTTTCTGCCTACAGAGATCTGGTTTTAACCGGTTGATCGCGGAAGCTTCCGCGTATCTGAGTAATCTACGCGTATCTGAGTAATCTACGTATCTGAGTAATCTACGGTTGACCGAATTGTAAATAATCTGAAATGCATCATCCCTGATTATAAGTTTAATGTAATAAACAGAGATAGACAGCTATTGAAAAAAATAGTGAATTTCTTGGGACAAGAAATGAGATATTGAATTTTGTAGTCGAACTGTATAGAATGGACCACAATACAGGTTAATACACAGATTTTAATGCTAACAGTGTACATAACATAACCCTTGACCTATTAGCGTTGTGGAGGTGTATGGATGGAAGCAATAGCACATAACACCTGCCATCTTTACTGTCTTCCACTTAATGAATAAGTGAATGATAACTTAGTCATGTCCATTTCTTGATGTTGTCATTCCAGGTTCTTCTTTGCCCTCCTCTTCTTCGACCACCACTCAGTGTTCCTTTAAGCACACAGTCTTTGCAATCGAATCATATCTCACCACATGTCTGAACCAATCTAGCTTGCTACGTTTAACCACTGCCAAGAGAGGTTCCTAATGTACTGCAAATTTGTATTTTTTGTCTCTGACATATTTTATTTATTAGCCCTGTATTCTAAATAACTAATTTGCAAAAATCTGTCTATAGCAAATAGTGCAAAGGACAAAAATTCTACCTGTACTGATTTATTGATTTACTGAAACTTGGAGAGTGTATCATAACCTAAGCAAACTGCTGACAATTATATAGCAGCAATGATACACAACACTGAGGTCACAACATGGCAAACTGCCAAGAATCCAAGTGATGCTAAAGAAGTAATGCTCTTGTCTGAAAAACTTACCTGCAACAGACTATCAGACTATCATGATTTTTTATCGTTAACTGCAGCATGGAAGTCCCAGTGGCGGAGAGGCTAGATGCTCGCCGCGGATCAGAAGGTCGTGTGTTTGCTCCCTGACGGAGCAAGACTTTTTCTCAGAAATGACCTTGGCTCCCAGGTTGACCCAACCTAGAGTGGGTACTGGGTGCAGTCCCGGGAAGTAAGGCGGCCGGCGTGATGTTGACCACATTACCAATCTTGTGCCGATTGGTCTATAAAAATATAGGTCTAGCCCTATATGCCCAAAGGCCGGGAAAAGAGTCCTTTACTTTTTTACATTTTTAACTGCAGCATGATTGGGGGGGGGGGGGGGGGGGGAGATGGCTGACAGAGCAAACACGATAAAGAAACGTTTACAATGTTGCTCAGTATTTTGGTAACCACAGAAACAAGGGAGACTGCTGCACAGGATCGATCTGGATGAGGTAAAGGCCTCAAACATGGTGGGTCGGCCTGCCAGGCAATAAAGGTTGCACTCGCAGAATTTAAAAAAAAATTAAGGCAATCTAAAGATAAAACCATCCAGTGCTAAATGTCGCATCATTCCTCTGTTGACCCCACTGCTGAAAACTTTCCGGGCTTAAATTGGTCATTTTCTCAGGAAAAACAACTATTGACCTTTTATAATTTAAAGTGGCCTTAATCACTGAGATAAGCCAATAACTTGAAAAAAAAAATAATAATTCTACAAGCTCATTTGATTTAGAAACCAAAACTGATCTCAGAGACTTGTGCTAGTAGGAATAACCTACTTTATCAAACTGTCTACTTTATCAAACTGATCTCAAAGACTTGTGCTGGTAGGAATAACCTACTTTATCAAACTAATCTCAGAGACTTGTGCTGGTAGGAATAACCTACTTTATCAAACTGATCTCAGAGACTTGTGCTGGTAGGAATAACCTACTTTATCAAACTAATCTCAGAGACTTGTGCTGGTAGGAATAACCTACTTTATCAAACTAATCTTAGAGACTTGTGCAGGTAGGAATAACCTACTTTATCAAACTAATCTCAGAGACTTGTGTTGGTAGGAATAACCTACTTTATCAAACTGTCTACTTTATCAAACTGATCTCAAAGACTTGTGCTGGTAGGAATAACCTACTTTATCAAACTAATCTCAGAGACTTGTGCTGGTAGGAATAACCTACTTTATCAAACTGATCTCAGAGATTTGTGCTGGTAGGAATAACCTACTTTATCAAACTAATCTCAGAGACTTGTGCTGGTAGGAAAAACCTACTTTATCAAACTGATCTCAGAGACTTGTGCTGGTAGGAATAACCTACTTTATCAAACTGATCTCAGACATTTGTGCTGGTAGGAATAACCTACTTTATCAAACTGATTTCAGATCTCAGAGACTTTTGGTGCTGGTAGTGCTGTGCTGGTAGGAAAAACCTACTTTATCAAACTGATCTCAGAGACTTGTGCTGGTAGGAAAAACCTACAAACTATCTTTGTGGCTGCGTAGGAAAAATCATATCAAACTAATCTCAGAGACTTGTGCTGGTAGGAATAACCTACTTTATCAAACTGATCTCAGAGACTTTTGCTGGTAGGAATAACCTACTTTATCAAACTGATCTCAGAGACTTATGCTTATTAGGAATAATCTAATTGATCAGACTGATCTAAAAGATTACTACTGGCAGGACAAATAAATTTTTTCAACTGGGTCACTTTGTATTTGCAATTTAAAGAACAGATTCATTTTAGCTGTGTATCTAACAAAGAGTGCTAAAGCCATATTTTTTTTTATAGACCAATCAGTATTTGTTGTGTGGTGTAGTGTGTGAATCAAACCAGCTGCCAATACTTCTCATGGGATTTCCCGGTTCCCATTTTAGGCTGGGTTGACCTGGAAGCCATATATAAATTATTTAAAATCTACTGAGCACAGATTTGAACTTAAGACTTTTGGGCCTGCAGGCAAGTGTTTACTCTAGCTAATGACCTTGTATTTTTACTAGTATTACAAAAAATCCAGTCTCACTACTAGATACACACTGACCACAAAACAAAAAACACATTACATTTACTAACACTCATAACATGTATATACACTTAAAATTGTCTGAGCCATCTTGAAGCTGCTTTTATTCTGATAAACTAGAACTCTGTTGGCTTTCTTGCTGCCAAATAAGCTTTGATCTTCTCATTGCTTTCTACTGTCTTGCTGAGAGCTTGCAGCAAGGGGTAGCCCTCAATGGAGGCAACCTTACGTGAGATATAGTTGAAGACCAAGTCATAGAAGACTATGTCAGCCAATGTTAACTGTGGAAGATATGATAGATAACAGTTCCAAATCAAATCTGCACATACGGGGGTGGGGAAGAGAAAAGAGGCAGATGGAAAGAGGGGCAAATATATTTATACATAGAGAGAGACAGAGAGATTTACATAATTATATACATATACACATACAGAGAGAGATGTACACACGACATTTCAAACTTTTAGAGTCTGCACTTTAGCTGTATATAACATGATTTGGGATTTTAGGCCTGTTCTTTCTTTTTTTTTCTAAACGTATGCTAGATGTTCTCACACATTTAATAGCATCCTCACAAACTACGATGTAAAGAAAGTTAAGCCAACGATCTTCTCAAGCCTTTTGCACACATGCAGCAATCGAAATTATTATTACCGACTATTTAGCACTCGTTAAGTAATGTGGTCCAGTTTAAATTGCGTCATCCTATGTTGATTCGAGAAACGTGACATAAAGCAGATTTGAACCTGCATGCAAGCATAAATTTTCACACACAGATGCCGAAAAAAATATATAACAATCTTTGGTCCACTTCCACTCCAATTTTTAGGGAAGCTAAGCCTCTTCCAATAATTCTTATGAATTGGGTGGTGGTTTGGGGAGGGGGAGAGGGGGGGTCAATTCTTTTAAATGATTTTGTGGTACTCAAGACGAAAGAATACCTAAACTTCTCACTCCACCCAGCACCTAAGTGCAATCATAACTGGGTCAATGATGCAGATTTCTCTTTCCCCTCCCTGGCTCAGAATCAGTGGGGTGTGAACGGTTTGAACATAATTTTATCGCACATAGAGAGCTATAGTTAGATGTAATCAAGCCATGGTTAAGTAGAGCAATCACCACAGATGGGTTGAGATTAGGATTAGACCTGGCAATGTTGACTTAAAGGGTGCCAGTTATTCCATTTTCAATAAATGTTAAACTTCTGCTCAAAGAAAGACAGTGGATGTAACTACTGGTATCAGTGAGCAAGAAAGCTGGTCCAGGTAAAAAGGCACCACTTGAAGGCACACTAGGGCGCAAAATATTTGAAAGCTTAAAGTGCAGATAATTAAAGCTTTACACCTTCACATTACTCCACCACTTGGCAAATACCATATATATGCTTGGATATTCCACCAACTAACATGTATATTAACTTTTATCAACCTAGCATAATAGGCACTTTCCTGTAAATATGAGCAATATCATTGTCCGTTTTCTCACTTTTTAAAATTTGCCAACAACATACATATATAAATGCATTAGGTGGTCCCTACTCTAGCAAGAATGGCACGTGTAATAATACCCATGTATGCAAATAACTATCAGTGGCAGTTTATGACTCAATTATTACTAACTGAAGGTGCTATATCAGAACAGTTTCAATTTTTGTTTTAAAATTGTGCAGGTCTGTGGCTTAGGCATTGCGAATGAGCTTCATAATGCCGGGTTCGATCCCAGCTGCGGGCATTGCGTTGGTTTCGACAGTGGTACCGAAAAGCTGACCGTCCAGAATGCAATGGCAAACTACTGGACGTAAATTTGCCCGGAAAAACCACAACAGCCAAACAATGCTGGGGTTGGTTCTGCAATGTCATGTAAAGAATACACAACTAACTTACTTTCCAGGACATTTCTTAGTATCCATTTCAAGCTGGGTCAACCTAGGAGCCAAAGTCAAAAATAAAAAATCAGACTCGATGTGGATTTGAACCAAAAGATGCGGTCATCATCATCATGTAGCAGGTCCTTTGCAGAACGTCGCTCTCATCACAGTCTGCCTGAAAGAAACTCGGTCTCTCGCCATTTCTCCCGCCTCATGCACTTTCACACTCAAGGTCTCACACTTATATCCGGTGCCCATCTTTGTGTCAGATGGCCCCTGCCCCTCCTTCCTGGTACCATGCCTTCTGTTAAAATTTTTTCTAATCTGTCGTGGCAATTGATATGACCAAAATATTTCAGCTTTCGAGAAAGGATGCTGTTTATTAGCCAATCTTCCTTGATGTTCAGATCTTTTAAGATGTCAATATTTCTTATCTTCTTTGTCCAAGATATTCTGAGAATCTTTCTATAGCATTTCAGCTCAAAAGCCCCTTATTCTCTTTCTTAAGTACCAGAACATAGTCAGCAGCACTCAGAATTTTGAGTCATTTCAAGATCTCACTCAACGGTAGTTGGACAAGACAAAACAAGTCACGCTCTGAACTTACTGAATTTCCAACAACAAACCCGGTGCCAGATTCCTTCAGCAGTTTCTCAAAGAACTGGAAATATTTAGGGAACTTCCACCTCTTTCAGGTTTTTCAACAATTCTGCCTGTTTAAGATATGCCAACATTAAAATGTTTTACTTCATACTCTGTAAAAACATTGAAACAGAAAATAAGGCATAAAGAGAATAGTTACATATGTAATCTATAAAAAAAGAATTGTATTAAAACAAATATACTACATGTAACTTAGAACATTTCATTATCACACCTAGATTTCTCTTCTATTTAAAAACATACTATCCACAACACTAACACACATATCCTATACACATAACTCATAACACATATCCTATTACTATATCATTACTTCCACATCAACAGTATAAAAGTGAATGCTGTGTTGTCTCAGCCTACATTTACACCTCACTTTCAACCTCTTCATCATCTTCTATAAGTTTGAAAAACTTATAAAATTTAAAGGCTACCCAGGATACATTATCAATCAATCAAGCGGCACCTCCACAATGAAGGTTGGCTGCATTTGAATGGATCTCAACATACTGTCTCTTGTCTTGGCTGTACACTCTCTTTATGTTCTCCTCCCACTTGTAACATTGTCTACCTCTTGCTGTCTTGCCCTAGACCTTTTCCTCCAGTATGGTTTTTAAAAGCACATCACATCTTTTAAGGTGGTTAAAATATTTCAACTGTAATTTTTAAAAATTTCTTTCAATAATTCTTTTCTTCATTTGCAGTCTTTCCAAAACCTCTGTGTTAATACGATCTCATATATATATAACCACATTTCCAGGGACTCAATTTGATTTTCTAGTTGCCTGTTTGCTGTCCACGTTTCTGCATCATACAGCAGGGTTAAGTATACCATCATATTTGATGCTTCTCTGTGGAGCAATGAGGTATCTACTTGACTTTCCAACAATGAACCAAAGGATCAGGATGTGGAGGGCTCGGGCATATCTCAAAATATGTGCTGATAAGAAACACCCACTGCATCAAGCGCTTTTTAGTGAAAAGGTTAACAGACTGAAGAGGGGGAAATCATGGCTAAGTCGGGCAGAAGATGTTATTAGGCAAATATGCAGCCTAACCGACATCATACCTGGTGCAGAATGGATACCTGTGCCTCAGGCGTTTATTTGTACATTTTCCTGTATTGTCACACTCAACAGGCGATGTAGAAAAGAGAATCCTGTTGCTGTTAATGCAGAGGTCAACGCTCTCATCGGTGAAAATTCAGACGAAGCAGATGCAATAATCTATACAGACGGATCCGTTATACGCCAAAGAAGAAGCGCATGGGCATTTACAGCACGCTCAGCGGGCAGAACAGTCAAAGAAGTCAACGGCGCCTTCTCCATGAGAACCAGCAGCATGACGATGGAGGTGATGGCAGTGACGCAAGCATTTGCCTGGCTTGAAACACAAAAATACACCCGCATTTGTATACTCAGTGATCCGGAGGGTTCAGTGCAAAGACAGTGGCTTGAATCATTACAGAAGTTCACTGTGCGTGGAGTCACCTTTATTTTTGTTCCGGGACACGCAGGGGTCGATGAAAATGAAAGAGCTGACAGGTTGGCTGGATCCGCTACCACTACCGACGGTCAGCCTATGGATCATGCTGATATTATCAATGCTCTCAGAGAAATGGGAAGGATAGAGGACTTTGGTGGCAGTGAATCCACATCACTCGCCAGAATAGCAGACTTGGGAATTAAGATCGGTACAGCAAAAAACGAGACGCACACAAGACACGCCAGAAGACTTGTTAATCAACATAGAACTGGTACTATTAGCCATCGGACGTTGGGGTTCATACTGAGGGGAGGATCTGAGCACCTATGGACATGTCCAGAGTGCAATGAGGATAACCCAACTAACTAACTAACTTGATGCTTCTCATTTTCAATGTGTTAAATATCTTAAGCTGTCAATAGTTTTAATTTTAACATCATAGTTTCATGAACAATTGTCAGTCTATAAGACAGACGACTGTTAACTGACATATAACCAACAATACACAGCAAGAATTTAAATACTTGGGAAGTATCTTTACATCCAATGGTAAAATAGACAGAGAGATCGAAGCAAGAATCCAACAAGCCAACAATGTCGCATACCAGCTTGCACCAATTTTAAAACACCCTGCTGTCCCAGCTGAGATAAAAAGACAAATTATAAATACAATCTTTATACCGACATTAGGTTATCAATGTCAGACTTGGACATTAACAAAAGAACACGAGAGAAGACTAACCACCTGTGAAATGAGATGTTTGAGAATGGCTGCGAATAAAACCAGAAGAGATCGAGTGAGAAACGATGTGATTACAAGAACTATTGGAACCATACCCATCGTTAAATTTATTGAGAAGCAAAGAATGAAATGGTTTGGTCACCTAATGAGAACGGAACCAACGATGCCAGCATCAAGAGCATACAACATGAAAATCGAAACACCAAGAGGCAGGGGAAGACCAAGAAGAATATGGATTGAAGGAGTCACGGACAACTTGAGACTTCATAACATCACGGCATATGAAGCGACTGAGCGCGCCCTGGCTCGGTTGCCGATCATCTGATAGACTGCGACGCCTAGCGGCACAAGCAGATTTTGACAAAAGAAGAAGACACAGCAAGGACTGCAAGAAGAGACAAATGTGTCTACCTTCTTTGCTGGATCACTTTCATAGAAAGCTTTAGATCCAGTGTTCATTAAATCAACTGCTAGCTGAATTGCTTGATTGATCTGAAGCTCTTCGATGTTGCTCTTTCCACAGAAACCTGAGAATGAAAGGGAAGGAATTTAGGGAGGCTAGAGATAGTGAGTAAAAGCAGCTGACATGTTTTTATCGTCATTAGAATGGGTCAACTCTTAAATACACTGTACATGCATAGTTCAGAGACATCACACATAAATATAAACTCATACTATCAAAATGCTCAAAAGCAAAGGGTTCCACCTTAATATTGTTTAATAGGGGGTAAAGGTGTAAATGTGCCAATAATTTTGGTGATGGTTATATGCATGTGCATGTACACATAAACATACCTACCTACCAACCTCCCTCCCTCTTTTAACTCTTTGAGTCCCTAGGAACGCATCATACGTTCATAGGTTCCTACCTAGAAGCCCAATGAACGCAAGATGAGCTGATTTTATGACTCTCTTTACTACCACCTGGGCCTGTGATACTAAACCCCCTGAGACTCAAAGAGTTAATTAAACTTCTTAGTAAAAAAAAAAAAAAACTGTCAGCTGTCATTAATGTTTGTATTTGCCACTTTTTAGGGTGGCCCAGACTGGGAGTTGTGAGCCTGAGGATTTAGTACTGTTTATTTTTACGACTACAAGAAACAAAACAAACAGGATTATGTCCCCTGTGTGGGTACAGGGACCCCATTGTGAGGAAAACAAGAATAGACCCACTGTCTCCCTAACAAGTAGGAGTCAACTAACTGGAAGCATCCTTTGAAGTCAGAGTACATCCTAAGAGAGTCTCCATAAACATAAGCCAGATCTGTAAAGCATATCCGTGCAAAACTTAGAATCTGGCCCAAGATCAGAGTCTGAAGGTGGAGGAACACCCAGAACTTTCGGCCGGAGTTACAGCCGGTGAATGTAAAGAAGAAGCAGAAAAAAAAAATGATGTGCTATCTCCATAATTAAAAATTGGCTACAGTACACACACTGCTGCCTTTGGAAGTATTATGCCTCAAATTCTTCCAAGGTGAGAATCTCGTACTACTGTGCAAACCATCTGAATGTGCATCTATGTTTAAATAAACTGTCCACAGAAGAAACTCCGCTTCAGTACTCAATAAAGTGAACCCAGTCAACAAAACTCTATATAGGTTGTTTTGACTGAAATGCACAAATATCGCAGCTTTGCTGTAGACAGGCACAGCGCAGTTACGTCACTTGGATAAATAAAAAGAAGAGTTGACTTGAGTTGAGTCAGAATTGACATCACAGCACTCAGGATATTTCCATGTGTGCTCTGTCCTCATCTTCAGCAGCCAGCGCAGAGTTCCAATACTAATGGTACTGGAAAAGAAGAAGAAGAACTCTAATGCTCCAAGATCATTTCATTTTTTTTAAACATAATCACAGTCATGTTAGGCATAAAGAACAGAAATAAAGTAAAACTTGGTCAACACAAGCTCCAAGGGACTGAAAAATAATATGCTTTTTTTTCTAAAAAAAGGTGTGCTAACTGGGGACTGGTAGATGTGTTAAGAATTACACAACACTGCTAGGGCTAAAATTATGTTCACAGGGCAACTGAATGTTCATCTTAAGTGAGTTTGTATTAATGAGGTTTTACTATATATTTTGTTTGCATATGGCCTTTAACTTAATATTTATCAAATTTTGATCAATAAATTAATGTATATAACAGACAGAGGGTAAAAGTGTAAGATTCACTGATATTAGTGTTCTTTGGATATGGCCTTTGACTTAATTTTCATCACAGTTTGATCAAAAAAAATTAATGTATATAATGTATAGAGGGTTACAGTGTGAGATTCACCGTTACTTGTAATGTTTGGATATGGTGTTTGACTTAACATTGCTCTTAATCTGATCAGTAAATTATTGTAGTGCTGTCTCTGTACTCACCAAACTCCCTGGCAAGGTATGTTGCTATGGCAATACTCTGGCCATATCTTTTACCATCAATTTCAAGAACTGGAAGTTGTAGAAATGGCGTGTCTGGCAAATGGACATAAACTATTTATAAACTATGGAATGAAGAAATACAACAGATGGAAAATTTATCTAATGAAAATATCTAAATGTTTGCTAGAGTTGAGGCATGGTTGATTGTAAAATATACACGGAGAACTGGGAGTTTACATTCTCAGGCCTGATATTTTTGGAAAGTTATTCTAAATTGAAATTATTTTGTGGGCATATAGTACTAGACCTTTTTAACCAGAGGAAGATTGGCGTATAGATGTCACCATAATCCAGTAGTGAAATACCATCTCTAAGAAGACCATGCTGCAGAAATCTTTTCCCTGTCTCTAGGTTCAGAAATAGTTCAAGGCCAAGACTAGAAATACTGTAGCTTGATATCTGCAGAGAGGCACTCTGTGTGTAATCTGGTTAAGATTGTCCTGGGCACCTACATACTTACTGGAATCAGGCCTAGGTTAAAGCTTTCTCAACAAATAATATATACTGCATTGTCATCAGTCTCTAACTCAATGCACATATAAAAAATAACTAATGATTACACAGCACAGTGTCTTGTCTTCTGCCTCTCAATTCTTAATCAATGAATGCATACACAGCACTGTGTCTTATCTTCTGCCTCTCATCTCCTAATCAAGTATACACCCCTCCCCCCCTTTCCTTGACCAAACAATTCAGAATGTTACATATCCCCTGATGCCCCCCCCCCCCCCAACTCTCAATCAACCCACATTAACGTATACACCCCCTCCTCCAGTAAGCTCACTACATTGCATACCCCCTTCCCCTCAGTTAATTCACAATGAAGTATACCCACCCTCAGTCAACTTACAATCAAACATACCCCATCCAAACCAAATTACTATGAAGCATATAACCATGAATCACTGTAAAGCTTACCCCTCAGAACACTCCCAATAATGCAACACCCTACCTTTAACCCTTCCCCCCCAGCCAACACTCACATAAATGTTTAGACTTTCCAAAGACTAGATGGATTTTGCATCAAAACCTTTCTACGGGATAAGATGGTCCTGAGCCTTGCGCCAATCCTCCGTAGTGACATTTTATTACCTGTAGTTATGATGTTGCTATCCTTTGCTCAGCTATCTATCCAAATAACATAGGGCAGATGAGTAAAAGGACCCTTTTCAAAGCCTTTAGGTGTATTGGACATGTAGGGCTAGACCTACATTTTATAGACAAGTCGGCACTTTGTGGGTGATGTGGTCAACATTGTGCCAACCCCCTTCACTTCCCAGGACTTTATTTGGTACACATTTAATGTTTATCTGGGAGCCCAGATCATTTAAAAAAAATATCTGGCTCCATCAGGACCTGAATCCTCGACCCTCAGGAGAGCGTCTACACCCCGGGGGCTCCTAGGGTAAATGAGTACAATATTAATATGAACATCTGAAAACACTCCAGAGGCTCCTAGGGTAAATGAGTAAAATATTAATATGAACATCTGAAAACACCCCGGGGGCTCCTAGGGTAAATGAGTACAATATTAATATGAACATCTGAAAACACCCCGGGGGATCCTAGGGTAAATGAGTACAATATTAATATGAACATCTGAAAACACCCCGGAGGCTCCTAGGGTAAATGAGTAAAATAATATGAACGTCTGAAAACACTCCGGAGGCTCCTAGGGTAAATGAGTAAAATAATATGAACGTCTGAAAACACTCCGGAGGCTCCTAGGGTAAATGAGTACAATATTAATATGAACATCTGAAAACCCCCTGGGGGCTCCTAGGGTAAATGAGTACAATATTAATATGAACATCTGAAAATGTACATATTTTGACTTACTCGGTTTTTCTGCAGGCCACTGTTCCTTTGTAAGTCTAACGTCTTCATACGTCTGCCCTGCTGCAGCCAGAACTAAACGAGATATTTCTGCTTTGCCTCTGGCATCAAAGTAGATCAGTCTCATACTTTTGGGAGCCATGGTTTATCTACAAGCGAAATATATCAATGGAGGTAACATAATAAAGACAACTATACTGCAATAAACCAAATAAACCCTTCTCAGTGTAGTGTAGCAGTTTAAAATCACAATGGTTGCTTAATAAAAAAAAAACATTGGGTAAAAGTAATGTTAGTCTCCCCGTCGCAAAAGGTTATGAGGGTGTTCTGCAATGCCGCTGACATCGCGTGCTGTATATTTCAGAACACTCTTTCATACTCAAAAAACATGGAGAAACTGAGTCTAACACAACACCCCTAGAGAATTCTGCTACCTATGTCACAGGCATTCTCTTTCTCAGAATGAAAATGTAAATGCAAGACATTACAGAAGCCAAACAACAGAGTGAGACTCACCCGTAAGCTTCAGGAAAGTTGACAAGCACAACAAACTTGTGAATGAAAAGTGACCTACTCTATTTGGAGAGACTGCTGTAAAACTAACCAAAAATTGTTATAGCCATTAGATTCATCTGTCTCATTTAAGAAAATGTTACTGACCAAGGCTTTTCGACTGGTGGCCTGCGGGCCAGTTCTGGCCTGTGGAGGCCTAGCAAGTGGTCAGTGGATCATTGCCAGTCGTACTGCAGTAATTATCTTTCTATACTGGGGCTTAAGCCTTTGGCCCCTGACAATCCCTATTTTCAAAATGTTGGCTATTGGGTAAACTTCTTGAATAGCCATGTTTTATTTAGTTTTGGTTAATATTCTCATAATTTGACACTGAGTGGAAGGATGGGCTGCGTGGAAACTTTTACAAGCAGGAGTTACTCACAATATATATATATATGAATAAGAGATTCTCTGTACCAACGATCTGACAGAATTTAAATAGACAGCATTTTCAGCTATACCAGCGGTTCAGCTTTTTTCAAACACTAAAACAGACAGGGTATGTCTCGGAGCAGTATAAAAGAGTCAAGATTTTGTGATTTACATAAATGACATTACTAAATACTATGATTATAGTCCGTTCCAGAAGTTATGTCCAACTTCAAAAATCTATAAACCAGTAACCCTTTGGTTAAGTTGTTGGAAATTGGAATGCAACCTTTTAATAATCATGTCTTTGTTTAAAAAAGAAATATTTTGTAATGCAAACAACTAATTTACATTTTACCTCATTTACATTTAAAAAAAAAAAAAACCCGACACCGATTCGAAGAAAACATTCAGCATGCTTACGGTTACCTGAATAATGGGAACATTTTAAAACATCAAATTCCACACGTTCCAAAGACATTTAACTCCCATGTGATCATCTCCAGCATGAGCCTCCCATAAGTTACAAGAAAAAATTGTTTCATTGTATGCAGGATAGGCAATCAAAACAATTACCATACATCGTTGCAGTAGGAATTCATTACCAAACAATCTCCATGCATGCATCAATTACTGGATAATGTAATTTTTAGGGATACATAAATTACTAGTCAAGCAAAGATAACAAGAAAAATATTCTTTGCTTTAAGAAAACAGCAGCATCTGTTCAGTTGCAAATGATAAAATTTGTCTTCATCCTACAAGGATTTTCGGTATATTTGTTAAAGTGTAGGGGCACAACTTTTGAAAAACACTATAGCAAGTTTCCAACAGCCGAACAGAACAAGGACTATATCAAACAAACATTTGTCCATGACTTTGCTTTTCAAACGGTCACTGAAAACACCATAACAGCCTGCATGCGCCTTTACAGTAAGCTCAAGGGGGAAAACCATCAAGGAAATGAATGGCGCCTTTGCTGTTACAACTAGTAGCCTTACAATGAAAACTATGGCTGTAAAAGGGCTTTAGCATAGCTAGGTACTCAAAAGTTCACACACGTATGCTTTCTTAGTGACTCGACGAATATGCTTAAAAAAATCCAAGCTTTTATCAGGCAAGAATGGATTGAAACACTAAGCACTTCACAAATATCTGCTCTAACCTTCATCTTGTTGCCAGGTCATGCAGCTGTTCAAGGGAACGAGCGTGCAGACTATCTAGCTGACACTGCAGTTGCTATGGCTGGTCCCAGTATTGGACAGAAGTGATGTTATCAATGCCATGCGCTGCACTTACCGTACCAAGGAGCACGCCAAAGGACATGACTCCATATCCCTGTCTAGACTGATGGACATGGGGGTGCAGCCTGGAGCTGCAATAATTGAACATTTCACTAAGAGGACAAGACGTTTCATTAACCAACACAGAACAGGCGTCATCAGTCGTTTTACACTTGTGGAGCTTTTGAGGAGGAGATCGGAGCACCTATGGATCTGTCCGGAGTGCTGTGAGTGCCTCTTGCCTGCTTAAAAATTCAGTGCTGAAAGTAGGAAACCAGACAAAGAATTAGGGTCTACAATTTTCATTGACCTTTCTCAGCGATAGTGATATATTGTTAGGTGGAGACCGATGAATCACCGCCAATTAGGTATTCTGGTAGCCTTAGTTTCAGCTTCATAGCAAACGGGTCGCCCCATCTTTGCTCCGCTCCTGTGCCAACGAAAAATACACAGAATGTTTATCACAGTATTAGAATTGCACCGCCAATTAAAGCCAAAGAGGAAATTTATCATCTCTAGAGCACAAAACTAAGGCATTATTGTACAGTCAGGTGCTGTCCACACAGCATGCTCCCTCGTCCGACCTGAATTGTTTACTTAAACAGGAAGGTGGCGCCAATATGTTTGGAATAAAGCATGCTGCAATGTCAATAATAAAAAAATATTTTGCGGTTTGATGGATCATTGTGTACCCTCCGGGGTGCAAACTAAAGGTTTACCATACCATCCCAAAATTACATATTTCATTCAGTCTAGATCCCTGTTCAACCTCTAAAGAAATTATAAGTAGTGCACCCCCAACGGACACACCAGCCAGGTGTAGCCTGCAATTATATGTGGGTAAGGACAAGTCAGCTGCCCCAGTGATCTGAACCTCAGACTTTCGGGCAATAAGCATGTACCCATTCGCTACCACTGCTCTAGATATTGGGTGACATTTCTTTACAGAAAGTCCTAATTTACGTCATTTCTAACCAGTCCTTTTGTCAGGTACAAGAGAATGTTATAAATAGTTATCAGCCTTAACAAAGTATTCTGACCCAATCTCTTTATTTATATCGAATACATGCAACTGGTTGCTTTGTTGTTTATTTCTATTAACAAAGTGCTCCGTCCCCATCTTCAGCAGCAAGCGAAGAGTTTCCAAGAAGAGTTCACTTATATGAGTGTCGCGAGTGCTGTGATGTCTGTTCTTAATTCACCCTTCTAGCAGCAAAACAAAATGGGCGAAAATACGAGCAATTCAGAATTCGAAACTGAAAATCTATTATGCTTACCTCATAGGTATTTGGCAATCTTGTACAAATTATCTGGCAGATTAACAGCTGCCTGGCTTGCAGGAATATTTATAGGTTAGGTGGGAAAACTGGATACCAAGTCGCTACAGTTTGTGACGATTGTTTTTCTCCAGTTGAAAACAATTACTAAACGCAATAGGATTCCTTTTAGTGGCTGCTTCTAGACTTGCGGTCAACAAAAGCTATTTGTGTGAAATTAAGGGTAATTCTCAGAAATGATTCTTTTTTTTTTTTTTTTAGAAATGAAATTCATGAATGCATTTATAATTTTTCTCATGATTAAGTAATATATTGAGGTACTTTATTTTTTTAAATTCATCCCAAACAAAGGAAATCCCGGAGTTCCAGGGAAAGGTGAATATTTTAGGGATATTGTGGGTTGGACGTTAGAGTTGAGATTTAAGTACTTTATTTTTAATTTGTCATAAAGGAAATTCTTTGTTTAGGGTGAATAAAAAATAAAGTAGGAGGTAGGATTAGTCGTTGTCACTGAGGCGGTCGGGCCGACACAGATAATAACCCGAATCCCAACCCCAACCCATAGGGCCTAATGCTCCTAGACTCTTTGACTTTCCCGGAAACTCCGGGATTTCCTTTGTTTATGGTGAATTAAAAAAAAAATAAAGTATCTTTATTGACCGCTACATTTTAAATTGCAATACACTACTCATGTAACTCTTTGTCTCGGGTAAACAAGCAGGATGATGGACAAGCCACCATGTTTATATAAAGTCCATGTGGCGGAAAAGCTGTTCATAGCTCCAAGTGAACCAACACGCTTGGCCATTTCTTTCTATAAGTGCCAATCACTTCTTGTATATTTGTTTATTATATCTATGGCTTCGGGAGCTCCCAGTCTGTTTATTTCTGTGTTGACAACGTCAGTTGGTGTGACGTGCAAAGTACTTGCTACATAAATATTTTCTGTTCCCCCCCCACCCCCACATATATTTTTAAATATAAAGACACATTGTTGGCCATCTCCCCCGCCCCCTTTTGTGAAGACAACTGGTGGCCGCACCCCTTTTCCATATATTGTGAAATATATAAACTACACTACAAGACATAGCACCAAAATAATTATCATAATGGACCGGAAAGCTGAAGGCTGGCAAATAGGACTACTAAATGAAACAATTGTTATGGTGATTATGACAGTCTTAAATAATCATCAAATGCACACACATGCACACACACACAAAGCCAGAAAATTTTACAATCGCACAAGGAACAAACCACCTAAATTGATCCAATATGTTAATCACATTGGCCGCGAGTAGCCGTAAAAGTAAAAGTGTGTCATCATACTATTTTTAATGTTTAGTTATTGTTGTGGAGGGCTCCCCCCCCCCCCTTATTCTCTCATGTTTTCTGTTTTGTTTGCATGATAAAGTATGCATTATATAATTTGAGAAATACGCACTCGGAGTAGTGGGTTCAGACCTGATCTGTCATTCTGATGATCGCATGAGATTGTTGACCACGACCACGTATGTTTATCAGATTGGCACATGATGATAATCCACCGGTCCTCAAAAGCAGATGATTTATCATATTCTCTTCCTCCTCCTCCTTCCTCCTACTTATTCCTTCTTCTTTTTTCTTTTTCCTTCTTCTTCTCCGTCTTCTTCTTCTTCCTCCTCCTCTTCCTTCTTCTTCTTCTTCCTCCTTCTCCTTTCAAATGTTTTTATAGTGATTGTTTCCACATCATATTAGAAGAATTGTAGGAGATAACTCTTTTACTTTTTCTTCTTAGCGTTCGCGGAGTTAACTTCGACAGGATAGCAGGAAAGTTTGATTTTTCATCCACTTTGGACTTTGGCCTTGTTCCAGAACTTGAGTTTCGCATGCACACCTGTTTCACAAAACTGGCGTATCTTTATGCGGACTGTTGGTCCCTTGTCCTCTAAGTCACGTGTGTCGCTTTTACACTTCGCCCCAATGAGAGAGGCGATTTTTTTTTTTTTATTTTGAAGCCACACCTGTCTGTCTTCGCGGATCCTTATATAACCTGAACGGGGTTTCCAGGACAAGTAGCAAGGTCTCTAATCTGAGTAGGGCACTTTGTATCAGCCGGTGCTTATCGCTGGTTGTCCAGTCCTGGTGGGAATTAAAGGTCACTCGCTCACATGTTTGTTGGGAGCAGCGGGTCTATTCCCCCCCCCCCCCCCACAATAGGACCCCCAGAACCCACGTAGGTAGGCGACTCATTTACTTAAGCTCACCAATAGTTTACAAATCATGAAACTTGAGCTCACCAAGTAGGTACCAAGTTTTTTGATTTTCTTCAGTGACTACTGAAGATTGTAATGTTTGTAAAAAGGCCCAGATACCGCCTGACACAACAGGACGTGTGAACGACAGTTCAGGCTGACTTGGTTAATATGGCAAATGTCTATGAAATTCATGTATGAAAGATGTGAGTTTAGGTATAAATGTGTGGATATATGTATGCATGTGGTGGGGTGTTGTATTCATGTAAGTGTAAATGGGGGTTTTGGGGGGGGGGGGTATATGTGTGTATGCATGGGTGCATGTATAGTGCCCCTCAAACATGGCAGGTGTCTACTGAAGATTTTATAGGATGTTTTGGGCCGAAAGGCCCAGATATTGCAGCTAGCTGTAAACCACAACAGGACGTGTCAACCATATTAAATAGGGGAAAGCAGAAGAATAGTGAACAGTCAGTAATGAATCACCAAATGTGTTTTTCTTGCTCTATCCATCCCAATAAATGTATTGTGTTGCTCTGTCCATTAAATCTTTCCATCGCAAGGAATGTATGGTGTTTGATTGGCTTTCTTCATTAACCCATCCCAGTTATGGTGCAGTGTACAAGTGTGCTCTCTTAATATACATTTTACCAGAGCATGTCAAAAAGCCTTGCTTCCCTAGTGGCCTTTTCCAATCACTTATAAAGGTAATTTTCCCTGCTTATCTACTAAATAAATATGCCAGGAGAGTTAATTCTCTTACTGTAACTTGTACCTCAAAGCAGGTGGTGCCTTGTAGGTACAGACAATTTCATGTTATCCTTAGTGGCATTGCAAGGTCACGTGCTACTGAGCCCAACAAATCCCCCTCTCCTCAATGACGCCCATACGACTCTTTCTGCCTCAGAGCATTACTTTTTTTTATATTTCTGGAAATCAGAAAGAGACAAAACAAACAGTTCAGGGAGTCAGTTAAAAAAGTAACTGGAGGGAGACAAGAAATAGTTTTGTTGGTACTGAAACAATAGTTGATAACAGCGTTGCTATTTTCCTTTTACAAGCTAGCAATGTCCCTCACCAATGTAAGGATTGATTCTGTTTTTGAGAACACTGCATACAAAAAACCTTTGAGAAAGATAACAAAACAAAACAATATGTGAGAAATTATCAACACCAAAATACAAAGCTCAAATATTTTATTCAAAAGGGGTCTTATGTGAACAGCAAAAACTATATAGGAAGTTCAAAAAGTAAACTGTTTAACAAATGTGAAATATACCAATAATGAACCAGCAGTTATTAAATATGACAAATACTATGAATGCCCAGCAATGGATCTCACACAGTAGTAGTAAGAAAATTGTTCATCCTCTCACACCAGGTGAAGGAATTAATTGCCTTTCTGCCTCTGAAAGAGACCTCTCATTACTATGAAACAAAACCCCCGAAAATTGGGATTAACTTCCTCAGATCAAATACTTGAGTCATCTTAACCTCAAATCAAATGTGTGAAAAACGTTTCCAGATCAGATTAAAACACACTCGCTTCCACCTTCTTCCTCAGCAAATAAATGAGTTATCTTATGCAATTATAAATGAAAACATAGATAAATGCAAATATAATAAGGTAGTGGCAGGGCAAATGCAAAGTTGATCATGGTCAACGTGTTAAATGGAGAAATCTAATGACAAATGGTGCACAACATTTGTAACAAAACTTCCATGCTGTGTTATGTAGGTAATCATCTCAGAGTACAGCCTTCTGACTCCATATACTGTCAATGATTACAAATAATGATATTCTTCAATGCAATGATGCTAAACTGTCATTCATCAATTCTTTTGGTCTCCATATGCTTTTCTTTCCCTTCAACTTTCCTGCTGTCATGAGTTTTCTTCTTCTCACAATATGTCCACAGAATGCAGTCAGCCTCTTTCTGATTATAACAGTTCTCTTCCCCAGTTAATTTCTTTTATGATACACTAAACCTCCCCCCCCCCCCTTTCCGGTGTACTCTTCCTATAGAACCACATCTCTGCAGCTACACATAATTTTGCACTATATCAGTAGAGTGCCTATGATTCCTTTCCTTTAATCAGGCTCCATATTGCTCTCAAGAAACACTGTTTTCTCATCTCATCTAGCTATTTATCTTAGTTTTGAGAAACAAATATACCATAGCAGATTTCTTATGAAGCTAAAATGGAGTATCCTTTCTGGTTGCCAAGTAAGCTTTAATCCTTTCGTTGGTGTCTACTTTCTTGATAAGATCCTGAAGAAGAGGAAACCCATCAGCAGTTGCAACATCGCGGGAGGAAATGTTGTACTCCACATCACGGACAAAAATGTCAGCTAATGTCAGCTGTAAATACAGTTAAAGGAAATTCAAATCATGTTTAAAAAAACTAAACACATAAACACATTTTCACAAGTTAAATTACCCTCAACAGAATAACTGAACAAAGTAAATACCTTCTAAACATATTATGTGAAGCATATAGGACCAGCAGATGTGTTTTAAATGAGGTGTTTAGAATTATATAATTGACCCCTTATGTATACTAAAGTGTCCAGAATTATTTATGTAGGTGCTTTCTTTGTGAGTTCCTGGGCCAAAGTTTGGGAAAAACAAGAATAGACAATTTGACTAATTGGGAGCTTCCTTCAAAGTTAGAGTGCATCTGCCCAAAATGCAAGAAACCAACAGTATGTAAAAAAAAAAAAAAAAAATTTGTAAAAGAGATGTGCACCCTACACAGGGATTCTGAAACAAGATCAAAATCAAGACCCAAAAAAAATAATCACCATGGTACAAAGGATTTTTTAAATGTTTACAGTACCACTGCAAAGTGAATAAAGCAAACAGTCTTTTGTCACCATCAGGATCTTACACAGGGATTCTGAAACAAGATCAAAATCAAGACCCAAAAAAAATAATCACCATGTTACTAAGGATTTTTTAAATGTTTACAGTACCACTGCAAAGTGAATAAAGCAAACAGTCTTTTGTCACCATCAGGATCTTACACAGGGATTCTGAAACAAGATCAAAATCAAGACCCAAAAAAAATAATCACCATGGTACTAAGGATTTTTTTAATGTTTACAGTACCACTGCAAAGTGAATAAAGCAAACAGGTCTTTTGTCACCATCAGGATCTTATACTGATTACAATCTGTACTTACAGAATTTCCAACAAAATAGCCGGTGCCAGATTCTTTCAGAAGCTTCTCAAAGAAGCCGTAAAATTTGGGGACTTCAACCTCTTTTAGAGTTTTTGTCAGTTCTGCCTGTGAAAATGACGTAAATTTAGTTTTATTAGGGCAAAACATAAGAAAGTGATTTCTTATCATGACACTAATTCTGAGCGATCTTTAAATGTAGTAGTTATGATGTAAGTCTGGGTAATCTTTACATGTGGTAGTTATGTCATAAGTCTGGGTAATCTTACATGTTGTAGTTATGTTGTAAGTTTGGGTAATCTTACATGTTGTAGTTATGATGAAAGTCTGGGGGATCTTTACAGAAAGTAGTTATGAGGTAGGTCTGGGTAATCTTTACACTTAGTAGTTATGTAAGTCTGGGTGATCTTTACACTTAGTAGTTATGTAAGTCTAGGTGATCTTAACACAAAGTTGTTATGACGTAACTCTGGGTGATCTTTACTGTAGTAGTTACAACATAAGTCTGGGTAATCTTTACACGTGGTAGTTATATCATAAGTCTGGGTAATCTTTACATGTGGTAGTTATAAGTCTGGGTAATCTTTACATGTTATAGTTATGTCATGAGTCTGGGTAATCTTTACATGTTATAGTTATGTCATGAGTCTGGGTAATCTTTACATGTTATAGTTATGTCATAAGTCTGGGTAATCTTTACATGTGGTAGTTATATCATAAGTCTGGGTAATCTTTACATGTTATAGTTATATCATAAGTCTGGGTAATCTTTACATGTGGTAGTTATGTCATAAGTTTGGGTAATCTTTACATGTGGTAGTTATGTCATAAGTCTGGGTAATCTTTACATGTTGTAGTTATGTCATAAGTCTGGGTGATCTTTACATGTTATAGTTATGTCATAAGTCTGTGTAATCTTTACATGTGGTAGTTATGTCATAAGTCTGGGTAATCTTTACATTTAGTTGTTATGATGTCAATATTGCAGGTCAGTATTATAAAGCTGGGTGATCTTTATGTATACTAGGTCAATATTATATTACTAATCTTTACATACCCTCAGTCTCGATATAAGACTGACTGCTCTTTACATGTGCTAGTAGGTCATGACAAACTATATATCTGTACATTTTTATAACATACTAAACAGTGACGATTTCAAAAAGTTTATTCATCATCATTATCGATGTGCCCTGTTAACTGGCATGGGCGATAAATTATGTTTCTTCACATTTTGCAATCTTAAAAAGCATGTATCAGATCCATTTGCTAATACCTCTCTATGCCATAATAAAGGCTGTAAAGAATCATCTCATGCTGTCTTTATCTATTTTTTTTCTAAATTTTTTAAATGATTACAACATGTTTAAGTTTCCTTCATCTCATATCATGACTAAACAATGATGACTGCCTCTTTCTGATGTTTGTGATACATTTATTCACATATATAAGTAAAAAAAAAAAAAGACCCTTCTCCACGACCTTTAGGCGTATAGGGCTAGAGCTACATTTTATAGACCAATCGGCACAAGCTGGGTGATGTGGTCAGCATGACGCCGGCCACCTTTACTTCCCAGGACTGCACCCAGTACCCACTCAAGGCTGGGTTGACCTGGAAGCCAAGCTCATTTCTGAAAAAAGTCCGGCTCCGCCAGGTAGCAAACCCACGACCTTCTGATCCACAGCGAGCGTCTAGCCGCTCCCGCCATGGCAACTCCCTTATACACATATATATTTATAGTTATTTTCATAATACTTATAAAACTGTCAACAAAGCAGCATACACAAAATAACTCAGTAACTAGTGTAAATGTACACAGTGAAAGGTAAAATACCTTCTTAGTCTCATCACTTTCCATGAATGCCCCAAAGCCAACTCTCAGTAAATCCATGCCCAACTGGACAGCCTGGTCAATCAGAAGTCCATCAAGATTAGACTGACCATAAAAGCCTGCAAAAAAACCACACAAATATTGTCAAGGTTGTAACTTAATATTAGGCTGTAACTGTATACAAAATTTAAAAAACCATTAAACAAAACAAGCAGGGCATGAAACTTCACAACACTGAGCATGCTCTACTAGGCAAATTTCTATTGATTATTTAGACATTGCTTACTGAACAGTAGATTCTTGATAGCAGTCTGAAACAGCGCAAGGCAGTCTGCCACCAAACCATCTGCAGTTGGGATCAAACCTGGCATCTTAGAATGCCTAAACCACAGACAGTTACCTATAATATTTAGGTATTATGGTTCTGAGGTTAAGAGCAGTTTCATAGTTATGGCAGGTTTGATTTAGCTGCAGGGGATCTGGCATAAAAGCCTTTGCATAGAATTTGACAATGTTATGAGGGTTGTCTGTTTAGAATGCAACAGCAGATAATTGAATGTAAAATGTTAAAATTCAGTTTCTTTTAAAAAAACCTGTCATTGCATTCCCCCTGATTTTTAAATAACAATGAAGCACAGATATAAAGGACTTGTGCCTACCTTCTGAGCTGGCTGCCTTTTGATTTTGAGGATTAAAGTATTTATAACATAACCCCTGTGTGGGTTCCATAGCCCCATTACAGGGAAAACAAGAACAGACCCACTGCTTACCCAAAAGCATGTCATAAGAGTCGACTATATATGAGCTCCCTTCGAAGTCAGAGGGCATCTGCTTGAAAGTCAAGGAACCAACAGCCTACATACAAAGTATGTAATCTGTCAAATGGATGCGCACACAACACTCAGATCCCGGAACAGGACAACAATCCAGAAGAGGACGAATAACCAGAACTTTCTTCACAGCTGCTGAACGTGAAGAAGATACCATCTCTGCTGTCTGCTAGGAAGAATTTCCAGGATGAAGATTAGAATGCATGTCCAAAACATTTGACCAGAAGTGTTCAGGCTAGAATGTTACTTTCACTTCTGTTGGGAAAACCACATACTCTTCCGAGAAATTTTAAGTACAGTATAAAATGGATGGGTTAGCATTGAAGAAAATATTTAGAACTTGATTGCTTGCCCTAGACAAAATTGGGAACTGCAGTGATGCCCACAAAGCACATAGGTTATCGTGATGGAAAAACCTGTCATTATTTTCACTGCCTTTTTCATATTCAGGGTAACATAATTTATTGAGTCCTTTGTAATATCATCCTAATCATTTTTCTGCCGTGCACTCTGTTAATCTCACTGGGCTTGCAGTCGTTTTGTTTTTCATTTTACCTCTGTAATAGTTGCAATCTGACCCAGCACCCTTATGATATTATCTATTGCAACTAAAAAATATGAGCCTTTAGCAGACAGTGTCTCAGTTGATAGTCTTCTTCAGCAGACTGAAAATCTTGGGGGAAAGAGGAGATTGGCGTGGTGGGGGGGGGGGGGGGGAAGGGGTCTACACAACATCTGCAAACTGAAGTGTGGAGCCTGAAACTAAATCAAGTGTCTTTTACAGCATGAAGCAAATATTTTAACCACTTTGCAACAGAGACACTGTTGCACAACAATGCAGATTTTTATTTAACTCGATTATACTCACCAAACTCTCTGGCAAGATATGTTGCTATGGCAATGCTCTGTCCAAATAGTTTGCCATCAATTTCAATAACTGGAAGTTGACCAAATGGTGTACCTGATAAAGAGAGCAATATAAATCTATAGATTGTTCTCTAATTATGAGAAGGATCTGAACTGATGTATTATACTTGAAGTCTGTTTAAAAAGTATGCAAAAGTTTGCTGGAGAGACTACCAATACTCACCTGGTAGGTCTGAAATCTCAGTTCTGTTCAAAGTAATCTTCTCTACATTTGGAGGGAACAATAGACCCACTAACAATCAGGTCATGAGAGGGCACTAATTATTGGTTTGCTGAAACCACATGTTTTGGGCTGAACACAGAAAAGAAGTAGTAGTAGGCTTATTAAGTTGAGGCTGCAAACATTTCACCCATACGTCATGCTACTGGTGGAAGCATTGGGGAAATCTTTTGGGAATGGAGTACAGTTTGGCCATCTTCCATAGAATGGTTTCCAATGACCTAAATCATCACCTTTTCAATGGTATTTCAAGTCTGAGGAGTAGCCAACAATTTTAAGGAGCCAAAAAGTTCAAATTTAAGCCAAGAGGACTGACTTCTTTGCACCAGATTTGATCTTTAATGGCTCAGTCTCTCTCTCTGCAAAATGTCTAGCTGTCCAAGAACATGAAACAAATGATGAACTCTGTAGTTCGAGTGACGATACCCATGGTATCCATAAAAATTGCAGTTGTGAACAGAATGATGCAGTGTGACTTACTTGGCTTTATTTTAGGGAATTCTTCATGTGTGTACCGTACGTCTTCATACTTCCTGGCCTGCAAGAGCCAAAATCAAACGAGATACTTCAGCCCGACCTCTGCCATCAAAGTAAATCAGTTTCATGTTCTGTGGTGCCATGGTGATTCTGAAAGTCAGGAAATATTTGCAAAAGATAACTGAACAGAAGTATAACTATTCCATATTTCTCTGTTCAAAGCATTGTTAAAAGCCTCTGGTGTCATCTTGTGTATGCAAACACATATGTATTTGTTTAGCATCTGTGTACTGTTTGTGTGTCTTGCTTTTCATAGTTTTATCAATAACATGTGTACATATGTACACTTGAATGTGACAGTATTGTTTATTTTTTTTTTTTTAAGCAGAAACACTTGAGCATAGCTCATTTGGCTCAGTGTTATGAGCATTGAAGCCCTTCAGCCTCGGTGCCACATACACCATTAATCTGAGGAATGTGCAGCTTTTCTGACATCCCCCCTCCCGGCTCGAACCCAGACCGAACACGCATGAAGATTGTCACCTGATGTCCAACGTGCTATCAACTACGATGGAGCATTGGGTGACAGTTTAATTAAATAGGTTCCTAGTTTTCTTTACAATTTAGGTATTTATGACTATTGTGGTTATAATCATTGATAAAATATCTGTGTGTGTGTGTGTATATATATCAGAGGCTCCAACACAATGAAAACAATATGGATGCGGGGGGAAGGGGGTCTAAACTTTGCAACAACATCCTGAAAAATTTTCTTGGCAAAATAAATGGGTGGAGGGTGGGTTCAATTTGATAATACTGTACTGAATGGTACAAATTTTAAAACAAATATTTTATATAATTTGAACTATATAAATAAATATTTTTAAAGAGAACTTATAACATGGTTGGGGTGGAGGGGGTTTCGAGGCTAAGGACTCCCAACCTTACACAAGGGGGGGGGGGGGGGCACTAAAATTACCAGCATGAGCCTTCAGGTTCTGGCACCTATGATATACATCAGTCAAAGCTTTTCTTTCTAAGCAAAGAGGTGCTGGTATTCACACCAGAAAATTTTGGCCCAACCAAATAGCGACTAACGAAACCCCATGTGTAAATTTAGAGGAAACCGAAGTAGAAGAAAATGAGGCAGAATCTGAATCTAAAGACAAAAAAGTAGCCAAACATGATGCAGGCACTGCAGACCTCGAGAAAGTAACTGATTATGTTGAGCAGAAAGAAACAGCTTTTCAGGATATTCAAGATGCTATGCGAGCTGATGAAATAGTGCCTAAAGGTTTCGTACTGCATACTGCTGCCCAGGAGGGGGGAAAACAGTACCCAGTAACCCAGTACTCATTAACACTAATTCCAAGAGATGAAAAAAATCAAGAGTTCTTGTTAAAATCATTTGTGCTAACCAATGACAAATAAGAATAATACACCCCTTTTTCTTTTTGGCTAATCTAATTCTGTGTTTCACTGTCAGACTTTAAGGAGACAAGTACTACTACTAGCATTGGTAAAATAAATTCATGCTGGGACCAATATTGCGTTCACAGTAACCACAAGTGAGTTCTTTATATGGGAGTTGGCATTGACAAGGTTTTAGTGTACAGCATGCCACTAAGTCTTAACTAAACCCAACAGTCATTTCACTTGTCAAACAGCGCATTCTCGGCCTCACAATATGTTTGATTCTTGCTGATCAGCATATTCTGCAAACCATACACAACCACACACGGAACTCACCAGAAAGGCTGAAAGGCTAACATATTTTTTTTAAATATAGAATACGACTCCTACATTAATATTATAAATAACATACATCTGATAACTTGTAGAATTCAGTATATATAATGGCTAGTAACAGCTGGTTAGTTGGTTTTTTAGTCTAGTCAAGGCTCTGATCTCACAGCTGCAGCTAACACTTAAGTTTACCAGCTTCACAAAACACGTGGAACTTATATTCAAGAGTCGCTAAGGCTGTGAAGCAAAACAACGCTGCTGGAGGTCAAAGGGTTGACCAGGAACACTTTGTAACCAGGTCGTGCCTTAGCAGAGTTGGGGAGGGAGTTCATGATTGTTACACAATTCCCCTCCCCCACCCTCGTGTATCCGCCACCCAGAGTTGGCGTTCATGCTTGTCTTCAGTATCTGAGTCAGCACAACACACGCTAGCTGACTAGGGTTGGTAATTTTCCATCATTGTATTATTAAAGAATCCACGGAAGCTGACATAAAGCAAATACTGTCAGGAAACGGGGGGAGGGGTTCTACTGTGGCCTTGTTTAAATGCACAGTTTCATATAGGCTACGTGGTTTGAGAGCCTTCGCAAATTTTCTCGGGGAAAGGCGGGTGGCACCCCAACCATAAACATTTGTGAGTTTCAGTGCGCTTGATGGACTCCAACCCAACCGTGAGGGAAAGCTTTTCTGTATAAAGATGACACATTTATGTTCTTAATGAGCTTTCTTTCTTTTCCCCAATCGTTCCTTGGTTAAAAGCTGCGAACATTTACTGACACCTTGTGATGAGGTAAAGACTTTGTGTTGTCTCCTACCCAGTGGAGCTTGGGTCAACTTGGCTGTAGGCGATGTGTGCATTCAATGCTGCCTTTGTAGTATTTCGGGACAAAATCCCAATTTCCTCTACCTTACCACTATCAAAAAAAAAAAAAACAGAACGGACTTTCTCTAAACGGTCGCTGCGAAAATGGAACCTTTTAACGCTGAGTACTGTGAAACGCGTTCACTGATGTCTGACCTACTACGCCACCACACCAGCGGCTTTTGAAATTTAACTCACCCACACACACCACGCACAAAACAGATGTGCTACAAGTGACTAAATGAATGCAATAGCAACAGTTAAGTAAAAGAGAAATCCTGTGTATGTGAATTCTGGCTAATTTGGTTACAAAAAAAAAAAAAAAACGAATCAAAGCTTTCAAGGTTCAGGGTATAAGGATCTCTCGGGAAAGTAGCTGATATATGGTTTATTTCGTTGGGACAAAATAGGCCAAATATCTCATGTGTGCGTCTAAAGGAAGACACCGGTTTCGCAATAAACCGGGACCGTCTATGTAACTAACGCGTGTCCCGAAAAAAACTAACCGTCAACGCCAGAATGATCTGATGAATTCATCTTATAAAGTAAAATAAATATTGCTACATCGCTAACAGTCGTTGATATTTTTAAAGTAAAGAATAAAATACTAACCTTTAACCTTCCGGTGAACGGTTGACAGGTCTCAAGTTAAAGTTTCAAGGTTAGATGCTTTCAAATGCGGGTGTGCCAGAATATATAGCCAGTGGAAAATTCCAGGTCACAGTTAACACGCGTTCAACCTGATAAGCCAAATGCCATTCATTCTATAGCTAAGCGTTTAATATTTTTTAATAAGTTTTTCTGTTGTTGCGGTATAGTTCGCCGAGGTTAACAATTTATATGTAGCAGCTGGGAGCCATGGCAGGACAATAGCTAGGAGATTTTACGCGCCCATTGTGGGAATTTTCCGGGGCCTATCATTCATTCATTCATTCATTCATTCATTCATTCATTCATTCATTCATTCATTCATTCATTCATTCATTCATTCATTCATTCATTGTCCTAGTGTAGTATTGTATATCACACATGGCTCCTAGTCTATTTCTCAGTTCCTTCCATCCTGTGAAATCACTTAAATATGATGGATGGAATCCAATCCATCCTCTCACATAAACTTTCGTCAGTGACTTTCTCTTGAACACCGCTTTTTTTAAGTCCAACTATTTTTCAATGTCTGTTTGGTGAAGGTGAATACCACGGCTAATTAAAATGTTGTTCTTGGACTCAGAGGTCAATGAAGTCAAACAGTTTATACCAGGGAGCTGAGTTGAATTTAGTTGAGTCAAGGATTGACACTACAGCCCTCGGGGCATTCCAATGCGTGCTCCGTCTTCATGTTTAGCAGCCAGCGCAGAGTTCCAATACCAGTGATACCAGGGAATACTCTGAGAAGTAAAGGCGGGTATCGTGATAGTGACCACTTGACCACACACCATATCCCAGTGTTTCCCAACTTGTGTGTTATGTACCACCCAAACCTCTCTAAAACTCGTATGCCCCTTATTAACATATACATAACTGTTAATATCATTTTTTACCGTGTTTGTATTGTCTTCCTTAACAATCACCCCCCCCCCTCTCATATGGTGTGGGCCCTATGCTGGGAAACATTGCCATATGCCAAATTCACTTTTGGGTTCCATGGCTTAAATTTTGGGGAAGGGGGTAGAGGAGAAGATCAGATCCATTGTACCCTATCAAGCATTTTGTAAAGGGTCACCTTTTTGAGGTTTGTTAAAATGGACACGGGCCGAAAAGGATCTGTGAACCACATGATGTAACTACTCTTCTAAGGGCGAACGTCAAAGAAGTAGGAGACTCCTGTCGCCATTGTGTGTTTGTGGATTGTGTGCGTACGCGCGTGTGTGTGTCTATGTTTGTGTGTGTGTTTTTTTTTAAAACATGATCTAAACATGTGTCTAATGTTGCCTTAACTACTTACATACAAACACGCGGCACTGCACCCAGGAGCTACTATTCGCAACAACTTTAGGCCACCCCAAGGGTTCACTGAACGCGGCCATGACAAAGCAGAACTGGGCGACACAGCTGGGGGAACCATTATGGTTATTTTGATTCTGTAAAAGTCATAAACTGGCTAACAGTTAATTTCCACATCTGTGACTATTCAGTTCGTCAGTCCTTTTCTATTTCTTCATTTTCTTCCACACCAACACCCATCTGCTTCTCTTCTGTATACACCGAAATATGCTCTCTTCCCCTCTTATTGAACAACAGCATCGGCCATCTACCACCACACACAAATAAAAAAAAAATAAAAAAAAACCCACCACCACGACTATTAATACTGCTGCTACTACTAATGATTTTCTTCTTCTTTGAAATTATTTAAACAGAAAAGTGCATCAGTACGACAGAGTATTCAAATGACCAGATTCATAATAATAGGAGAAACAGGGAAATCCACCAAAAATGATTTAAAAATGCGTAGTCACATTCTCGAGTGTACAGGAAGAGACATTTTTGTAGGGTACGTTTACTTGGTACATCTGTTGCGGTTGCCCTAATTAT